GACACAATTGATAACCTTCGAAATCTAACGTTGCGATATAATTTCGAAGGTTTTCGAATTAATATAATTACTGATGTTATTTTCACAGGTGTTATCTTCTGGTTTTTTCCTTTTCTTTTTGGGAACTTCGTTAATTGAGATACCAGGTGAGATATAATATCCTTCTTTTTCTAAATCATCTGCTGATGGACATTTAGGACATAAATTATGCTTGTTGCCAATGCACTCAAAATGGATAACGTATTTACATGTCAATAATACGACTGGTTTTGAAAGTTCTGGAGAGATGGCTTCGAAGCACTTAGAGCATATTTCAGAAGTTGGTTCAATAGCATTTTTGGCTGAAGAGGAAGCGTCTTTATTTTGTAAAGCTTGAGTAAGTCCAATATCGGCGTTACTCTTGGATCCCTTCTGCGTTCGTCTATAGTTAATGATGTATCTTTTTCACGGCCAGCCTCTGTCATTTGTGGTGATATTTCCATTGAATCTTCTTGCAGTTCTGTTTCAGATGGTGAAAGGGACGTTTCGATATCTTTGTTGCACCTGTAAATGAGACACCTTGATTCCTCATTTAGCAGATGCACATTTAATAGTAACTTTTATATATCTAATTATAATCAAACACAATAATTTTCATGTTCAGATAATAACATATTTATGAGATTACGATTTTTATTTGTTATGCACATGAGAATTAATAATATAAGTGCAACAAATTAATAATATAATTTATTTTTCAATTTAGACCACATACATATAATTAAAAAATATAAAGTTCAAATACTTGACAATTAATAGAATGTAATCTATAAGCTATTCATTATAAATCCTCTTGCTAATTAGACGATGCAAACCTACTCTCAAAACAATATACATACTTTCCAACTCTGCATCATTTCATTCTTTTAATAGTAATAAATAATCCTTTTTGCATTTTTCAATCTTATTATTCAAAAATTCATGAATTGTTATTAGATTTGGACTGTTTCTATTACTGAATTTATAATCTAGAGTTTTAAGGTCTAGAATTTCATCTTCTAATTTTTCTAACAATGATCGTGACAATTAGGTTGCTTTCTTCCAGTCTATTCGATTTTTATTAAAATTAATATTTCCTGGGTTAAAATCTCTTATCTTAATATCTCCTATCTTAATATTACCAAATTCAATTGCTATCCTTTTCTTAGTACTTGTTTTCACTAAATCAATTGCTTTTTTATCAAAATTTGATACCTTAAATTCTGGTTCAATATCTGTACGATAAGTGAGAATAAAGGCAGTCATAAAAGTTTGTTTCAATGTCTCTTCATTTGAATACACAACACTATTATCCTTTAATGGTTCAAGTAAAACTTTTTCTATAAATTGGCAAAGAGGTTTAATGTTACCTTCTCCTTCTAAAATCTGCGTACAGATGTTGGATACTCTTCCTTCCAGTCATAAATCTTAAATGCCTCTGTATAAACTCTTTTTTGGCAATGTGATTTGGGATTTGAAGTTCATATTTTAATGATCCTGGTTTATATATTAGAGCACCAGTATAGAACATGAATGATAGTAACGGAGTACAATCAGTTGCTAGCTCACGAATGTTGGTAAGCCGAAATCGTTGTTCTATATCCTTTTTTAATTCAAGAGAATGTTAATTGAGTGCTTCAGTAAGGACAAATTTGCCAAGGGGATTTTTGACAATCAAGTCCAAAGTTGTTTGAGAGGACAATGTTTGCGGATCAGAGGGAAACCTAAGAAGTTTTTTGATGATAACTGAAGTATCCTGATAATTATTGTCTATAAGTCTCTTTTTTTTTTCCATCAACATCTCAATACAGTATAAGACACGAGCAGTGTTGAAAATACCTTCAGTTTGATTAGAGTTGAAAAAATACCCATCATTTTTCTCCTTTAACCATTCTATTATTCCCCCCTTAACATCTGACGACAAACCAAGAGTATTGTTTAAGAGAAGTTCAATTTCTGACTTCTTGAACCCATACAAGTTCCAAAATTCTTCTTTTAACGCTAGATCTTTTGAAATGTTAAAACCTGAAGTAAACTCAGATATAACGACAGGGGTCACACCAGTTTGGAAAACATGAGCTATGCTTTCATCACAAGCAGTCTTCAGATAACTGTAGAATTGTTTGAACGAACTATCCATTGCTTCAATTCTGGTTTGAGAAGGGGTACTTTTCTTTTCATGATGAG